ATTGTAACGAAGGATAAAACGTAGTTAAATCTTTCAGGTTTATAATCAGTATATTATGTAAGTTTAAGTATTATAATAACAATAAATATATAAATATTAAAAAATAATATATACACCAACCAAAAACGACACAAACACAACAAACACCACACACACAACACGCCACACTCTCTCACTACACACATACACATTATATATATAATATATATATTATATTATATATATAGTATATATATATATATATATATATTATTTTAATTTATATATTATTATATGATTTATTTTAAATTTTTTTTTACGGTATGTAAGTTGAAATGAAAAAACGTATTAGCAAAAGCATAACATTCTTCAAGAATAATTGAATGAAAACCTGTCACATATCAACAGATAAGCCCGGCATTTCCTTAAATCATGATTCATCTGTTACGCATAACCAGTGCATGAGTCCTTGAAACTGGGGAAAGGTGCCTATCAAAATAAAAATATTACACCTTGGGAACCTTAACCCCAAAGAGTGAAACTGTCTCACACTGAGATAAGGAGTTTACCATTCCTTCAGATTAGAATTATACCTTAGTTCTCCTCCTCCCCCTCCTTGCTCCTTCTTAGTTCCCCATCTCATCTCCTCCTCTCCTTCCACCTCTACCTCCCTCCTTCACTCCTCCTCCTCAGCCTCCTTAGTCTTCCCTCCTCCTCCTTCCACTCCCCCCTCCTCCCTCCTTAGTTCTCCCTCCTCCTCATCCTCCTTCCCCCCTCGCTCCCTCCTCTCTGCCTATTTCCCTCCTCCTCCCCCTCTCCCCCTCCTCCTCACCTCCTTCCACCCTCCCCCTCCTTAGTTCTCCTCCTCCTCCTAGTTCTCAATCCTCCTCCTCCTCCTTCTTCCACCCCTTAGCTCCCCTCCCCTCTCCTCCTCCACCCTCTTTCCCTCGCCACTCCTCCTTCCTTCCCCTCCTCCCTCTCTCTTCTCTTCCTCTCTCCTTCCCCTTCCTTCTCTAAACCTCAGCAATACACCAGCCTGAACCCCGAGTCTCCTTTTACCCGAGAAGAAGATCCGGATGAGGCTCGAGTCCGAGATGATGTCCTGCGGGAGTGAGTAGCCTTGGAGGGAGTAGACCGAGCTTGGGGTGTAGTAGGGGTCGGTTGTGGGGTTCACAGCCACGAAGTTCTTCCTGTAGTGGACGAGGTGGAGGCGCGTGAAGGTCAGCTGGACTCGGTTGCTTGCGATGCCTGGGGAAAGAGGGGGGAGGAGAGGGAGGGGGAGGTGGGGGTGGGGGATGAGGGGGAGGTGGGGTGGGAGGAGAAGGTGGAAGAGGGGAGGTGGGGGTGAGGTGGGAGGAGGAGGTGGAAGAGGGGGAGGAGAAAGATAGTGGTGGGAGAGGTTTATTTTTGTTATTTTTTATGTTTTTTTTTTTCCATTCTCACGAATTGCTTTTCATTTTATCACACACACACACACACACGCACAAACAACACACACACATACACCCCCCCACACACACCACACACATACAACCCCCCCCACACACACACACACATACACCCCCCCCCAACACACACACACACACTCTAATGTGCTCATTTCAAGTACTTAGACACGCATCAACACACGATAATATGCCATTCGCAATACATATTCTTGAAGTGTCTTTGAGGATATCTTGGTGACGTGATGTCTCCTCCGGGGCGAGCTGACATGACCTGGGAAAGAGAAGGATGGATCTTGAGTATTAACGATTTTTTTTCTCGTTTTTATTACTTTCTTCACTATTTTTATAGGGATTACACACAAGCATCACCCTTTTTCTTTCTCCTTCCTTTATTATTGAGTATTATTTTTTTCTCATTTCTATTACTTTCTTCACTACTTTAATAGGGATTACACACACGATTTTTTTCTCATTTTTATTACTTTCTTCACTACTTTAATAGGGATTACACACAAGCATCACCCTTTTTCTTTCTCCTTCCTTTGTTTATTGAGTATTAACGATTTTTTTCTCATTTTTATTACTTTCTTCACTACTTTAATAGGGATTACACACAAGCATCACCCTTTTTCTTTCTCCTTCCTTTGTTTATTGAGTATTAACGATTTTTTTCTCATTTTTATTACTTTCTTCACTACTTTTATAGGGATTACACACAAGCATCACCCTTTTTCTTTCTCCTTCCTTTGTTTATTGAGTATTATTTTTTTCTTATTTTTATTACTTTCTTCACTACTTTAATAGGGATTACACACGATTTTTTTCTCATTTTTATTACTTTCTCCACTACTTTAATAGGGATTACACACAAGCATCACCCTTTTTCTTTCTCCTTCCCTTGTTTATTGAGTATTATTTTTTTTCTCATTTTTATTACTTTCTTCACTACTTTAATAGGGATTACACACACGCATCACCCTTTTTCTTTCTCCTTCCCTTGTTTATTGAGTATTAACGATTTTTTTCTCATTTTTATTACTTTCTTCACTACTTTAATAGGGATTACACACAAGCATCACGCTTTTTCTTCCTCCTTCCTTTTTTTTTTTTTTTTTTAATTTCGTTTCTCTTTTTCTCTCCCGTTTTCTGGTATTTTTGGAATGTATTCTGTTTTGATATCTTGTGGTGGGTTGGGCTGTATTACTGATATCCAATCAAAGTGCGAATATGTATGAAAATAACGAATTTTACTGAGTGTCGTCAATCAAAGGTGTGAAGTTGATGTATGAATAATAACCAAGATGAGGAGGAAGTATGTGTGTGGCCGTGTGTTGACCGGATCGGACATCTACTGATTCGGGCACGAACCGCAATGCATCGCAGCATAAGCCACCCTTTTACCGAATTATTTATGGCCCACAGTTCCACCACTACCACTCTCTTGCCATATCCACATGCATCGTCACCACGAGAACCCTACTACCACCAACATTCATCGTTACACCATCACCCCACATACGGAGAAACTATCGGTCAACGAGTTAGAACCACCATCACCAACGCACTGACAATCGCATAGGTCTCAACTATTCGTCCCCGCTACAAGGCAACAGACCAACCATATCATCACGCAGCCATAGCCTCAAACATCAAGGTCAACCGATCAATCGTCACCTACAGACCAACAATCACTGATCCACATCCGCTAACCCACCGATAACCACACCACACCAGCCATTAGACTTCTGAGATCATATTGAGCGACGAGCAAGACGTACCACTCGACTCCACCAGCCACGCACCAACGAACAGCGTCTAACCAATCAACACTTATAAAATATTAGTAATCTGCGTCACGGTAATTCATCGATAGTTGAATGCTCGAGACCCTTAACTAGGAAAAGACGGCTCTACTACACAGAATCCTCTTACCGCGGCAGTCTGTACTCTAGAAAAATACGCTGATAAACTGAGTGAAGAAACCATGAGATATGCAATGTTTGTTTGTGGGAGGGTGTGTGTGTGTGTGTTGTTGTGTGTGTGGTATGTGTGTGTGTGTGGTAGATACATAAAAATAACACCCGGGGGCATCACCAGCTAAACCTATTACGAGCAGGAAATAACGTGGAATAACATATTACAGATGTACTGTCGTTAAGCACGCAATACGCACGCAGCACATATCGAACGTTCATCACTTAGCCGCAATCCAGCGACATCACAGACCGGTATGCACACACAAGTACACGACATAGACAGAAGTAACACGGCACATCATCGACCTAATTGTAACATCAGAAGAAAAAGGAAACAGAGAATGAAAGGAGAGAGAAAATCACGCCGTCAAAATCCAATGATAAAAAACACACACGTCACACACATACACCCACAATCACACGCACGCACAGTATGCCATAATAAAACAAACACGCGCACACCATATTCATCAAAGACAGCACTGCAGACATGCTTTATCATATAAAGCCTAGCCCGTGATATTAAGAGATTCGATGGAAATCAAAACGCAACAAGAGTTCCAGAAGCTGCTCGAAAGCACGAGTATATTCGCATATACTCACGACATATCGAACGAGAATTATCCGCTACTCGAGCAAGGGAACACCAACACCCATCTGTATATCGGAATGAGATTATTATTCGCACAATGTAAAGAGAAGAGACGAATGGCTCTCGAGGGATTTAAGAAAGAGAGACAATACGAAGGAAGAGTAATACATAATATAACAAGAGGAAAGAGTAAGAGTTAAGAAAAGCTTGAATCAGTACTCTCACGTCACAAGTTGGCTAACAAGTTGTCCAACACAAGAACACAGTATACCAGATCAAAGAAAATAAGGGTAAAAGGAGAAGAGGTGCACAGAGAATCACTCGAAATGTTCTCACGAGGACATTTCAGAAAAAAGAATTATTTGCATTTATTATAGCGGTAATTTACAGTCTGTGAACTTCTGAACTAACTGCTTCTTACACTACAAGTTGTAGACAGCAAGGGTACAAACACAGAATAGAAGGAGCACGAGAGAAAAAAGAACACAAAAAAAACGTATAATATACCTATGGAGTAATAACTATATATAACTATCATGACAGCATATTAGATCTATAATAAGACCTAAGTTACTCACTTCAAATATGTCATTAAAATAAGTAGCACCTTATATTATCCGGATATACTTCAATTATCAAGATAGTATAGACCAAAAGGAGCTACCTAAGCAGCAACTGAGTGCTATATACACATAAATATACATAGCTATCCTAAACTTACATACAGCATATATACTAAGTGCAGTAATTAATCTATAGTAGCGACATATAATACGACCTGGGCTATAACACTAAATACTATAGCCAGAATTGTATACATGTATGTATCGTATATATAGATTTTTCATCAGAGCTATATCTCATAAAATATATATATATAATAATATTAATATGACTTGTACCCACTAAATGTAAGAGTAATGGCATGGGCTCTCACTCACCCATCACTATTATTGACAAGTAATAAGTAAGTAAACCTCCATGCAGAGGTTAGAATATAAAATA